GTCAAAGATTAGTTCTGTTTTCATATTCGGACTGATATAAATTCTGGAAAGACAGTTTTCCTACGGAAAGCACTGCCGAAATTTTCTTAGTTTACAGGAGATAGATTATATTTTGACAGGTGGCGATTCTGGCGATCCACTCGGTACAGGGGAGATCATGCCAGGGTCTACCTTTGCTTGGGCACTTCTTAAAGGTAGATTCAGGCTTAGTCAATTAGAAAGATCTTGGATGAGAATGTGTTTTGGAGTAGTATTTTCCATACACTTATGATTTTGGCCTGGTGATTGGCCTGTCTTGTGTTACAGGTCCTCTTGAYCGTATTGGTTCAGGACTTGGACTAGTTTCAGATTGATCCTACAAGGATCACCTTCTGTTATCACTGATAACAGGTCGGTTGCCGATTCGCCGGTTTACGATTCAACTCCAATTCACCCCTGTCACTCAACCTAAAGTCTTTAGCCTTGTGATTGAACTGTTTTGTTGTGTTTTCACCCGGACTTTATTGAATGGTCATCCAACAAAAGTACTGAGTATTTATTTAAGAGTTGCACGAGTGAGGCTTGTATGGCTAAGGCGAGGGGTATGAGTGCAAGGAATGGTTGAAGTTGACCCCGTGTAGTGCGTGAACTTCTGAATGAATCTTTGATGTGATTGCAGGTATGGTTGTGGTTCGGCTTCGGGATGTGAATGTCTGCGATTACATACTTATATGGCTGAGAGGAGCCTCACTGTGACTGTGAGAAGTGATCGTCCTATACAAATAAGTCTTGTATATATATACTTATTTGTGTCTTGGGTACGCGCGCGGCTTACTAAGATCGTGCGCAGGGGTTAGCCAGATTATGGCTTGAGAGAAAACGAGGACCCCCTGTTGTCCTTTGTTTTTTAGTATTTTTATAGTTGGACGTTGTAGTCCATGGCAACCGTCAAAGTCAAACCCCTTGACTTTTGCCCAGGCCCGGAGCAGGACTTACCCTCAGGGCCGCAAGAAACGACTGGCACCACAGGTGCGGACGTGTGTACCACCCGCTCTGCACAGAGTGCGGAAGAGGGTGTGTGGTTTTCAACCGCGCATGGCGGTTGTCCAGCGTCGAGAGATTAACCCTCAAGGCGCTTGTCAGCCGACACTTGAGTGTCAAACGCGACCCTCGAGATTAATGAGGGTCGCGCGAGTACGGGTACTACATGGTACGCCATCATCGCGACTGCTTGCGTACATTTGCATTGCTAGTCGATATGAGTTAGCCCTGCGTCCCCGCGGTTTTATACTGAGTCTCGCGCGCGAGTCCTATCCGATTTCCGCGTTGGAAAGTTATGAGACGACTACTTAAGGGACTAGGAGTGTTGTCGCGTTGTTCGATGTGCGTATGTGTGTGTATTTTATTTTTGTGTTTGTAAAGTGGTGTGCTCGTGGTGTGTGGGATGCGTCCTAGTCGACCGACGTCGAGCCGTGCTTGGGACTTCAGCCCCCCAAGACGTCGGTTCACGTGCGGGCCCGATAGGCGTATTACCGCGCGTACCCCCTATGCTACAGCGAACGAGAAACGCCCTCGGCTGGTCCACCTCAGTGATTGCAACCGAGTAGCTTTCGTACTGTGGACTGGTAGCTCGGCGGGGATACGCCCACCGAAGGGAGGTGACAACTCCCGTAAGGTGGAGGTAAGTTGTGCCTCGCGTAGGCCCTATCCTGTCGTAGGGGCTTGCAAGAGGTATGGCTGGCGCACTCGGCCGGAGCGGCCTAAGGAAGCTCCATTTGTGTGTCTGGGATGAGGTTGGTCCAACTCCTGCGTGACGCGGCCGAGAGGGTCTCGCGCTGCTACGTGCGGTGCCGGACCGATGCGCCCAACACCGGCTCTTGCTGCCCTGCTGGCCGGTGCTCGCCGCTCACCGCCAGGGAGCGGGGGAGGGGGGTAAATTGTTGGCACATCACTTCTTCAACACCAGCGTGCCGAAGTGCACAACCATACACACACTGTGCCCAGTGTGTTATGGCAGCAGCTACCCAGGTTCAAACCCTGGCAGCAGCTGCCCTAGTTTAAACCCTAGCAGCAACATGCATCCCGGATGATAAATAATTTGGAAGCGGGGCGGGGCGGGGGCAGCGGGGCACGTGGCGCGTGTGTGTGCATATGCGTGTAAGACGGTCTTGGCCTTGGCGATTCCGCACACGCGTGACAATCACCATCTTTCTTTTCTCGCCACGTGTCACTTCTTCCGTGTTGCTCTTTTCGTCACGTTTCTCTGTTGTTTTTAACTGGGAATAGCCGAAAAACAGCCAGAAAACCCTGTGTCGGGTTTTGCTGTGTTTCCTGCTATGCGGTGTGGTGGGTGGGAGCGGGGAACGTTCCCGCTCTGATACTAGTGTGGTGGACCCACCGGGTGAGGTGCTCCGCCTGGGATATAGGTGGAGATGGAGGATGAGGGTGGAGCAAGATGGCACAGCGCAGCTCCCACGCGGACTCCAACGCACGTACTCCAAAATGTGCGAATGTAGAAGGACCCAAAATACAGACTCTGGCTGGGGGTATACCCGAGCGGACTGACTGGACTGGACTGGACTGGCTGGTACCGACAGAGGTACCGGCCTGGACTGGACTACCCCGAATACAACACAGGCCTGTCAGAGCAGGCCAAGAGGCTGGTCTCACAGGCCAACCAGAGGTCCGCTACACACACACAGAACTTTTAAAGTATAAATCATTCTTTTTTTTCTTTTTTTCTTGCCAATATGATTTTTATTTTTATTTTTATTGAAAGATAGTAACAATTTACATGTATAACTTTGACAGGTTGTTTAAGAATCGATAGTCGTCTTGCCATAAATATTCAATTGTTGTTTGTATGGTGTAGTAAAATAGTTGAAAAACAAAATGTAAGTTAGACGGCGCTCTCCTACACCCACCCACCATTCCCTCCGAGTGCCACTAGGAGTGAAACTTATGTGTGAGACAGGTCCTTTGAAATGTGTACCTACTAGTAGGGCCTCCTTATGGCTGTCAATCATCTGCTAAAACTTGAAGGACTGGCCATACCGAAATTTGGATTCGTACATGCCCTATTTTGTAGTGATTGTCCACCACCAAAATTCAGGCACCTTGATACAAACGCCGGACCACACCATACCACAACCCCTAGGGTTGCGGAGTATACCGCAGTCTCAGGGCTGTGAACATTCACATTCTCTTTGACCCAGGGTGGATGCAGAAGAATCAAAATGTAATCAACCTCATTTGAGGCCTACCCTACAATCCTGGATTTTTGGTGGGGGGTAGACTGGCCTGACTAATGTCAAGATGGACCGTAAATAATTGTCTACCGCGTGAGCGTGGGGAATGCAACCCTAAGGTAGCCAAAGCAACTGGACTAAGCGCGTGCACAAGAGAGAGAGAGAGAGAGAGAGAGAGAGAGAGAGAGAGAGAGAGAGAGAGAGAGAGAGAGAGGCCGAATGGCAAAAATTAAATATGGGTTGAATTGTGGCCGCGATCTATTTCATGGATGAAATGATTTTTTTTTTAAATAATATTTTTTCTGGCACGATCACAACAAAATTTACATGCACTCGAATTTTCAGGTTTTTTCACTCATTCTTTTGAACGTGGAAAATCACTGGAGTACCTTTTCCATTGCCCCACACATGGCTGATTGGCAAAAATGGAAAACGTGTCGTGACGATTATTTTGTGGTCTTAATAATTTTTTGAAACTTTTCTGATATTTTTTTCTGGAAAGACCACGACCAAGTCTACGGATTCTCAAAATTTTAGATTTTCCTGTGAGTTCCTCTGAGCACAAAAAAGTCGCCAAAGTTGCCTCTTGCACCAGACGCCTGTTTCGTTGCGCATTCCCGTGTCCTCCCAACATTGACCTACCTGCTTTGAGAAGAAGGGCCTCAACGCCTGGGCCTGAGGGCCCTTTCGCAGTTCACATGCAAGGGAGGACCGGTCCTCCAATTTTGCTACCGTGCTGGTTCTACGCGCAATTGTTGTAGGTGGTCCGTAAAAACATGGTGGACTGGTATCCCAACAACTTTCACCCCATTAGAACTCAGTCGTGCGCCGGTCCCCCGCCGCTGAAAATGTGCCACCTTGCCACAGATGTCGAAGCCTACTATACCGCAGACTTAGGGCTGCGAACGAGCTGGATTTGTGGTCTACGCTTAGATCCCAAAATTCTCAGGGAACCAGGATCGTCGGCATTGTCCAGAGGACGGTTCTAATCGATGTTCAGGCAAACAATAAAATTACATGGGGCCCACCATATGTATGGGGTGGTTTGTCCTGACTGTTGTCTGGGCAAACAGTAAGGGTCTGATCCGACTTCTTACAGGGATGTCACTTTTAGGCAAAATTTGGGATCCCACTTCTTTCCACGAAAGTAGGATCTCGCCCCTGAATGTCAGGGATGTGGAAACGGTCTCCTACGCGTAGGCACGACCGTGATCGCAGGGGTGGTAGTTCTTTTGGTTTTCGGGAGAGGCCGACCCCCTCTTCCGTAGCGAAAAAGAAGACATCAATTTTTTTTTTTTTTTTTTTTATCGGTCCAAATGGTAGTCCAGGAATGTCCGCCTTCGGTGGACAGTGTGTGACGGCCGACACGGTACCGTAACCCCGACCCCGACGGTGTGTCCCGCCGCGTGGCCCAATGGTAACCAGTCACCACATCCTGTCCCAAGGCCGTGTACACCCCCCCCCCTCCCCAGTTACCCCTAGGGGTCTGGATGTCCCACTTCATTGGCACTTCAACAAGTGTCAGCGGAATAGCAACCTGAACGTTTATCTGCCTGGGAAGCCCACCGTATACATAGGTCATGTCGCGTGATTGTCCAATCGGTCTATTTATCATCCCAGCCATAACGCAAAGCACTTCCTTCATTTCTCACGTGATCCAGGCGTCGAAGATCCCCGATTCCTCAACGCGTCTATCACAGCCACGTGTGATTGCTGGGGTCGTAGAGGTGCGTTGAAGTCCCACGTGTACAAGCTTCGTAGCGAAGGTATGGACGGTGGTCGTCACACTTTCCAACCTCGTTCGCCATCCCTCTCCCCATCCCCGTCCCCGATGCCTGTCGAAACATGCATGGTGGATGTCCCGCCATCAACCCCTGCCACATACGTCCCAGGTTATCAAGCTTCATCACCTGATGGAGGTGGGTCGTCTTACGTACGGTCAACTCCCGTTATGCCACACGGTCTGCCGCCCCTGCCAGCGTTCAAGAATCTTCACACTTCGATGTACGCTGTGGGGAGAGAGCCTCGATCTATGACTGCCCTCCTCGCCGAAGGTGATAGCCTTGGACCGCAGCGAGGTGGAGAATCGTATGGGAGTTGTGTTGGGTATCATGGGTGGGGCATGCCACGTGGAGGTCAGTGGCAACACTCACCGTCAGCCATGGGACCTGGCGGGGAAGGAGAGGTGCCTGCGGGGGGGCCTACATCATTGGCACATACATCATACGTTGCTGGCACTGCTGGTCACATGCACGCGGGCGTAGGTGGAGCCACCCCCAAGCTCTATTATTCACGACCGCCTCCTCCATCACCGGTTGGAGGCACTGCGCAGTCCATGCCTTCGGATGCCGCATTCAGCAGTCATGACGGTCGGCGACTTCATGTCGTCGATTCCGAAATAACGGAAAATGACCCTTCTGAATCGGTCGCCGATCAAGGTGACAATATGGACAAGCAGGACGCTGAAATGGGCGAGACGTGGACATCACCGACTGGCGACATAGCTGGTATGCAAAGCACGGGTCATGTGACAGTCGACATCAGCGATGATGACAAAACGGATGAGGGGGTGGGTGGAGAAGTGAGGAAGAAGGGCAGAAGGGCAGGTGGGGGAGGGCACGCTAGCTCTTGTCGACGCAGGTGGGGGAGGGCAGAAGGGTCGCCTACAAGCGAGCGCTTGTCGACCAAGACAAAACATGACCGTACTCTGCACAAATAGCTCTCGCGACGTCGTCTGAGCATCGTATGGCGCTGTGTAATCCGATCCTGAAGTCGTTCCCGGATTGACGGTAAAACCCGAACCGTCACCCATCTGTACAGTGCAAAGGCCAACTTTAGCGACGTTGGCAAAGCATCTCTCCAGCGAGTGTCCCTCCTTTGAATCCTTGGACGAATTCGTTCCAGAATTTCGTCGAATATGGGATGCATCAGCCGTGTGTATTCCCTGAATTTTTTTCGTGTCCCACTCCCATCATGTTCAGCTCCTCCCACGTTCCCACACCCACAGTCGTCGTCGTCGACCAACGTGTGAGAGTCGGTCGTCCGCTCACCCTGTGCCCTCATAAACTTCACAAGCAAGGAGCAACAACACATTCCTCATGTTTTGCAGCGCGACAATGTTCGCCACGACATGGATGAACATGGCAGTGGAGATAACAGTGAGATGCTCCCTCATCCGCACCTACCGGATGACCGCAGCTAGTACCATACCAAGTTTGGCCGCCGTCAATTGAGCCATAGCTTGCCCGACAACGGCGATTGTGGAACACGATCACCGCTTTCCACGAAGTCGATCAACTCCAAAAATGTGCGTGCCACGACAGACGCACCAGGTCCCCCCCCCTGCCGCAGCAACTTCCCGCCCGTGCACGTGCCACTTGTCGACTTGCCTCAAGTGCCACTCTCATCGATGGACACTACAGCGATGCTACAACCATGCTACCTCTTACAAGCAGGATGATGGTGAAAAGCTTACCCGTGGACCACGTGGCAAGACTTGCGTGGGGGGAGAGGGACCGTCGCGGAGAAACTTCCCTCCAAAACGCGTATGGGGGACCTGACGGTCGGGGAACATTTTCGGCACTACGAAGGGCCGATGCCCATCTCTGTGCGTGCCACACAAAACCTCCTGGCCGCACAAAAGGGGACACACCACCTAACCAGTCACACAGTTCGCAGGGCCGCACAGGACACCACGTGGTGTCCGAACGGACAGCACGAAACCCGATCCCGCACACCCGCCCACAACAACCCGCCGCTTTCCTCGAAAAAGCACCTCAAACACCGGGCAAGTAGGATTTCATTTTACTTGTACGTCCCTTGCGGACCGGCTCCGCTGAAAGTGGTTCTTTTGGGTTCTTATGGAAAACGGTAGAAGTCGGATCAGGCCTTAGTTGTCAACATTGTTTGGATGGCTAGTGGTGATGGATGCCTGTGTGAACAGTAAAATTCGCAGCCCTAAGGCTGCGGTATAGTGTGCTTCCGCGTCTGTGTCAAGGTGTCATATTTTCGGTGGCGGGCGACCAGGACGCAAAGTGGGTTCTTAGGGGACAAATTTTTTGGGGACCGGTCCTTGGAAAAATTGTGGACTACCTACAGCTAGCTCTTCTAGAACCGGGACTTTTGGAAAAAGGAAGGACCGGTCCTCAGGTGGAAGTGGACCCTAAAAAGAAGTGGGGGGCGTTGGACCGGTCCCCGGGCAGAAGCGAACCCCAAAAAGAAATGCGGGCATGTGAACTGCAAAAGGGTCCTCAGGCCTTGGCATTGAGCCCCGTCTTCTCAAAACAGGGAGGTCAGGCAAATCATTTAGACTGCGAAATAATCGTCGCGCCGATTCATCACATTTTCCATTTTTGCCACTCAGCAGGGCCAACTAAAAAAATACTCCAAATTCAGTGAGTTTTCTCGCTTAGAAGAATGAGTGAAAAAACCTGAAAAGTGGAGTACTCGTAGATTTTGTTGTGATCTTTCCAGGAAAAACGTTTCATAAATTAAAAAAAATTATTCCAACTGCGAAATAGATTGCAGCCGCAATTTGACCCATATTTCAATTTCGCTATTCAACCCCTCTCTCTCTCTCTCTCTCTCTCTCTCTCTCTCTCTCTCTCTCT